CTCTCTCTCCCTCTTTCTCTTTTATTTTTTCTCCCATATGTTATTATTTTCCAATGTCATTTCTGAATCTCAGAGAGGGTAAGCTGTTATTGCATACCACACCACCACTTTCCTAGAAGTCTTTCTCACATTATATTTAGTGTCAAATAGACTCAGTATAGATTATCCACCTTTACATCATGGTTTATGTTCTCTCTTGACCACTGATGTTGGGTGCAACGTACTATATGTACAGTATGTTTTTATGTAGTATATTTTGAATGCTACAACTTGTAGTGTATCATTCCCTGAATGGTCAAACTGATGGACAACGTGCAAGTGTGCTGTAATTTTAAAAGTTGACTGCTTTTTATACTTTACCCAGGGATTAAGCATTGTAGTTTTTGTGAAGATAATGCTCATTTTAATAATTTTAGCATCGTGCACATCATGACCCTGCTTTCTAAGAGTTAGACAACAAAATTGAGAGTGATCATGTTACCAATGCCAGCATGACTCAGACATCACCAAAACTGAACTTACAAGTGTTATTTTAATAGCAGATACGAACATAAACAATTGAATGTGGGAAGTAATTAACAATGCAATAAATGCATAATTTGCAGAAAATAATTTGGGGTTGGTTGTGGGGCACAATAAAATGTGAACACACTGGTTGAATCACACTAGTGCAGGAAAACACATCAGATTTCAATACCAGTGAAAAGTTGCTTCCACTTCTCTATAAGACATTAGTGCTAAGTTGAAAGTAGCTGCCCCTTGAATTAGCTTGAGCATATTACACACATAAACATATGCTGTCATATCACTCCCTTGATTGCTTTATGAACTTAGAGACATTGCATCGCCTAATGCAAATATGAAGTTAAAGTGTTCGATAACAGACAATAGGGAAATTTTCATTAGCAGAGACATTGTCCCTTAGAGAGTAGGCCAGACTCTACTAGATTTTATCAACCATCATCCATTCTGTAGTATGTTGGGTAATGTGCTGAATCATAGCAACACCAAAAAAAGTTTTCCTTAGCAACAACAACAACAAAAAAAAATCTCTTTAGCTATTAGATATACTAAATTATAGTCTTCATTGCTATGAAGATGTTGAGGAGCAGCCCATCCCACCATGACACTTACCCATGGCCAGTTATTCGGCCACAGACTCCACACCTGGCTGTAGCCAGCCACAGACTCCAAGCTCATTATGTGTTTTACTTCCCCTTGTCAATGGGCAGTAGAGGCATAGCCCAGTCAACTAACCTGATTGTAAATGCAGCCAGTGCCCCAGGAGAAAAGGTAAGCCAGGAGAGAAGGTAAACCAGGACAGAAGGTAAGCCAGGAGAGTTGACAGCTCCAGGGAGAAATAACAGATGTGGCCTACAAATCAAGCCACAAGAAAAGCCCAGGGTGAAAACTGTGACTTGCTGAATTCCAAGACTGCACGTCCTGGAATGAAACCACTCATTCAAAAACACAGATAGATAAACTCAAAAGGTAAGAGTTATACTGTATCCAAGGTGACATAGTTGTGGCTGTTAATTGGTTTTCTCTGTATGCAAATATTTAGGCTGCCTTTATGTGATCAACAATACTACAGCCCATTTCCAGAGAACTGGGTACTAGGCCAAATACACTGCAGCCTCCTCACCCAAGAAAACAGAGGAAGTTGCATTCTAGGACAGAGTCAAAGACCTATTGTTAGATATGCCCAGAGCACATCACAGAAAAGCAGACATTAACTAAAGCAACAAATCCTTCTACTATAATCAACCTGCAAACCCCAGCAGAAAAACAAAATGAATAATATTATGAGAAGTCAAGGCAACAAAACTGGACAAAGAAAATGTATTTACACACAATGGAATAGTACTCTGCCATATGGAATGATAAACCTGAGTCATTTGTAGGGAATTAGATGCACATTGAGACCATAATGTTAAGTGAAATAAATCAGACACTGCTTGACTATCACGTTTTCTTCTATATGAGAAACTCAAATCATGAATAAAAAGAAAAATAAAGGATAGGTGGTAGGCAGTAGACAGATGCACCCTTCTCAAATGGGAAGGGCATTGAGTGATGGAGGTAGGGAGAGAGGAGAGGAAAAGAGGATGAGAAAAGGAAGCAAGATGTGTTACATATGTGTTAAAGCTCCACACAGGGAATGTAAAAATATTTTCAAAAGATGAAAATAGAAAAAAAAAAACACAATTTATTGATCAGTGGACCGGAAAAAGAGTGTTGAAATCTTAATTTATTACCCTTATTAGTCATTGTTAACCTTTATATCCCAGAACACGTGGATCTCCTTTATACTTCATTGCTCCCAAGTGTCTTGAAATTCAGCGACACAGAATATAAGGAACTAAAAAAGAAGGACACCCAAAGCACAGTTCACATTGATTTAGATTCTACTGCCTAAAACAAAAGATAATAATCACTATATGGACTCCAACTAGCTTAAAGTAGATAAACTCAAAACATAAAAGTTATTTTGTAGAACATAATAATAGGAATATACTTGGTTTCCAAGGTGAATTTAAACTGGAGAACCACAGAAACATTCTCATCATTCCATTTAAATAAATGACATCACCGCAGTGGTCCAGATTTCCAAATCTTTGTGTTACAAAATGTGTATCATCATTGATCAGAAGTTTACATCGCCAGAGACAAACAGAAATATATTGTGTCTGGATAGTAATTGTGGTATACTTGTGAACACATGATTGAGAAGGGATTCATTGGATAGGCAGAGAGCAAGGTCATGTACTCACAGAGTCTATATAAGCACATCAGAAATGGACAAATTATTTAAAACTTGGGTTCGTGAGTGATTGGTGGGAGGGCAAAACCAAGATTCCAAAGAGTTGGTTTCTAGAGCAAAGGGCCTAGTATGCTATTAGTGTGGGAAACATGGGACAAAAATTGAGGAAAGAAAACTGCCAACCCTATGTTCTCTACTCATACTTATGTCGTATTCAGATACAAGTTGAAATTTTCAAAAATGTTGCTAGACTATAAGAATCATCCCGTCCATTTTATTGCTTGAAATAAAAAAATTGTAAGCGTATATCCTATACCCCATCATCTTAAACATCTATAGTGCCAAGAATATCAATCCAAATTCCACAGATTTCTGGACCATCTTTGCAGCTGGCTGGAAAACTAAAAGTCTGAACAGATTTGTGGTCATGAAACTTGATAAGAGCGATAAGAGAAGAACATCAGCAAATGCCATATTTTCTTACGAATTTGTCTAGTCCTGAGACCGTAAATGATGGGGTTTAAAGCAGGTGGGATAATCAGGTAGAAGTCAGCTAACAGCACTTGGGTATGCAAGGGCACTGTGTCCTGCCCTGACCAGGCTACATAAACAGATGCCACCCCAGGTAAATAATATAGGGCCATGACACCCACATGGGAGCTACATGTGCTTAATGCCTTCCGCTGAGCATTCTTTGAGGGAAGATTGAATACTGCCCTGAGAATCAAGGTATAGGAAGCTGCAATGAAGGCCACATCAGAGCCCACAATAATGGAGGTAGCAATTAAAGTGTAGAGACTGCTGGGCATAGTGTCAGCACATGCCAACTTGGCCACAGCCATGTGCTCACAGTAAGAATGGGGAACCACATTGGAGCCACAGAATGGTAAATGACTCAACATCCAACTCAGTGGAGTCATAGATATAATACCTCTGAATGCAATGGCCACACTCATTACCAGCATCACTTTAGGTGTGAGAATTCTCTTGTAATGTAGGGGCTTGCAGATGGCTACATAGTGGTCAAAAGCCATGGCCAGCAGCAGCCCTGTCTCCACAGCAGTGGCTGCATGGACAAAATACATTTGAGTGAAGCAAGCATTGAAGCTGATGGAGCCATCTCCTGAGCAAAAGGTGCTCATCATCTTGGGTACCACAGAGGAAGCCATAACAATGTCCACAGCTGCCAGAATACACAGGAAGCAATACATAGGCTCTTGGAGAGTGGACTCCGTGCAGATTACAGTCATGATGAGGGTGTTTCCTAGCAGGGCTGTGGTGTACATGGCACTGAGTGAGATAGCCAGCCAAAGATGTGAAGACTGCAAACCTGGAACGCCCACGAGGAAGAAGGTGGCAGGGTTTTCCATTGTGTGGTTGTAGGGTGGCCCCAGCATTGTATGTAACATTCTTTGCCTGTTGAGGTATAAAGTGATGTAAGAAAAACACAAATCTCTCAGAGTTATTATTTGTCTGTGGTGTTGATAAATACTGAGGATATTCTTAGCTTGGAAATATTCTCAAGATCAGAACAATAACATCTGATAAACCTATCCTGTTCCAATTTTTATCTTTTTCAACAGTCTTTTTCTTACTCATTACTATTCAATGTTCAAGATCAGCTCTTGGGTTGCCTCCTTTGGGAAATCTTCTCTGCACTGTCTCCATTTCATGTTAGCATGGTACCTTTCTTCTGAGTTCATAAAATATCTCCAGCTAACCTATGAAACATTTAAATGGAGAATTCCAGTATTCTACCTGTGAATTTATAGTATGCTCTGAAGTGTGTGTCTTTTGTTCAAGGACTTATGCCAAATATCATCCTTACCTGTGAGATACATGTGCATTTGAGAAGATATGTGTAGTCATTATAGTAAACAGTTTCCACAAAATCCATGATCAATCAGAGGAAAGAAATTGTCTTCTATCTCCATGTTTAGTTACTGAATTTAATAAGCATTGAGAGAAATAATGAACTTTTTTGAGCTCAAGCTTGTCAGTTTTTGTATCCTTAGTTCAGTACCTACAGAAAACATAAAGGAAACATCTTATGATTAAAGTTATTCAGTAACAGCTTCAGGAAAATGAGATAATTAGAGAACATCATCCCTTTCCATATGAGATCATGAATAATGAGGATATTGGTAATCCCTACCTTCCCTTAGTTCACTTGATTTATATTCAAAGAATATTTAAGTGCACAAAAAGTTGGAGTTATATTATAGATGAACTTCTATCATATTTTTTCATGATTCCTCAGTAAGGTTACCCTCTATTCATGATAAAGGACCAAGATATTATAGAAAACAAGGAAGCTTAATCTTGTAGAAGTAAAGAACTTTTGGGGCTGGGGATTTAGCTCAGCAGCACAGTGCCTGCCTGGCAAGTGCAACGTTGTGAGTTCAATTGCCGGTACTGGAAAAAAACAAAAATAAAAACAGAAGTAAAGAACTTTTGTTTGAACATAGTATGTACCAGAATATTTTGAAAAGGGTGGTATTTATAATCTGATTATAGTTCTCTATTTCTAATATAGAAACTCATCTATACATGATAGTTGGCAAAACTGAAATGAAATATTTATCCAATATCACATATCAATTATGTAGTAAATTTGAGGTACAAATCTGAGTCTTTCGACCTCTGGCTCCCAAAAGTTGAACCTGCCTAAGCATAACAGTCCCAAAATAGCTTTGGATAGTTTTCTATAAGGTATATGGAATCACTTTGCTGCAAGACTGCACATATAGGAGCTAAGCTCTGAAGCTTGGGAATTTCTGTTTATTACTTGCTTGCCCTATACCTGCCTCATTCAGATGGTGCCATGGAGAAAGGCTTTGTGGGGTGAATCTGAATAGAAGTAGTCAGTGTTAACTACCAGTCCATTGCTGTGTGATACCACTTTTGTTTCTTTCCCTTTCGGTTTCATTTTCAGTTCGAAGTTGTGTACAAGCCCACAGCTCTCTGGGAACCCTCCTTACAAAGTCCCTTCTTTATTCAGTGGATTCACGTGGCTTTGGAGAATGTTAGTTTATTTTCTTCTAGAGACTTTTAGTTTTACTTAGAACATAAGAATTCTGTGTGCTTTTAGTGGCCCACTCAAAAGGCGCCTTGTCCTACTTCATCAAGGCAGGAAAACCTTGAAAGGTTCATACAACAGAGAGTGGAATCACTGTTCTGCCACTTTCTAGCCATTTTCCCCTTGATCAAATTCCGTAAACCAAATAAACCTTAATTTGTTAATCAAAAGGATGAAGATAATGTGCCTATTTCAAAGAGATTTTTCTTGATACTTAAATGAGAAGCTATGTAAAGTGATTAATTAGCAGGAACTTATACAAAGGTGCTCAATAAAGTGTAGCTAACTGAGAAAAGGAGTGTTTTGCCTGCTTAATCCTATAGCCCAAATTGTGCTGAATACCATACTTAAATGGGGAAGCCCAAATTAACACATTTAACACATGCATTTTCACACACACACATACACACAGAGGTCCCAACTAAATTGCACAGCTTTCATTTTCTCTTGATCTGTGACTTACCACTGGAGATATTTCACCCAACAGCAATAGATTACAAAGTTCCTTTGTTCCCACTGTGATGAACAGCCTACTGTACTTTATAAGGCCTGTGTTTTAAGTCTACTATCTGTAAGCTAACTGTTTAAAAACCTACCAGTTATAATCCTATTGACCAGCTCTGAGTCTATAGCTTTTTGTCTTTTTTCTCTGCCTGTTTGCTTTTTATTTTACATGGTCACACCTGTGAAAAGGTCTCTCTTATACCTACAACCCATCTCTAATAAGAAATTCTAAGAGTGGTTCACACCTGTGCTTCTGTATAATACTTGACCAAATTGAAATGAGATTAAGGATGGGGTAGAAGCTGTCTGATAAGCATCCATTAGCCAGGCCATTTGGTGCTTGAACTTTTTTCCTATTATGTCAGATCATTTCTGTCCTAGGGACAGGGATATGGAATTTGTCCTCAGAAATGGACTCAAGAGCCCATGTGTGGAACAGACTGTTAATTACAATTGATTTTCTTCCTCGGACACTCGTTGCCTTAATATACTGTACATCTCTCAAAGTGTCATCGTGGTTGGGAAACACAATAACTGTGCAACTTATGCTGACTTAACAGAAGTCATACTGCAGAATCCTAGAACTCTAATGTTTCCAGGCAACTTTTGTGAAGACCTCTTATTTGTCAAAGCTTAAAAATACCCTGATTTTAGACATCACTTCCTGTGCCTCCCCTCAATAAAGGATTTCCAGAGTAAATAGTTACCATAAAATTATTCACCGGTACTGTATACTGTCTCTATCTTCCAACTTTTAATTTCTCCTCAGGGACCTGGATCCTAGATCCTCCCGGATTAACTGAACAAACAGTCATGAACCTGAGTGATAGATTTCTGTGCTCAAATCCCAATTGTTGCAGTAGACATTTTCAGTGTTAGCCAAGCAGAGACAAACATCCATTGATTCTCCATCCTAAACAGCATACACTCTCCCTTTTATTTCCATCTTAGAGACCTGGGCATGGATTAACTCCACACCCAGGTGCACACAGCAGACTTGAGGACAGTCCTCAAGTATTCAAAATATCCAAATGCCTGAAACCTGATGAAAAACTGTCATCTTCATTGAAACAAATAAACCAACAACAAAAACAGAACAATAAGAACAAGAAATACTCTGCAATTTGACACTGAATAAAGTAGAAAAATCCAGTTATAGATTTGTAAGATCCTTGCAGTGTGTAACCACGAGGTGAGACATCTTCAGCACTAGATCAAGAGAGGACAGGAAAGAGTTTTCAAAGTGGAATGGTGGTTGAGAGTGAAAAAGAGTCTGCATATTCCTAACGCTGCTATATCTGATTTGAAGGCCACCAATTCACCGTCTCAGGGTATGAAGAGGAGCAGGGGATCCAGAATGCTTAGCACTCACTCACCTCTGATTCAGCACCTTCCTCTCCTAGCTGCCCCAGGTAAACCCATCCTTCTTCTGGAGGCAGCTTCACCTTACATCCTGCCTCACCCTTCCTCTCTCCAGTCCCAGCATTCACACCTTATATGCCTTTCATGATCTTCAGGGTGTTTTTGTTTTCCCTTCATTTACTTTTCTTCTTGATCAGCACTGCTAGCACTTTGCATGTACTATAAGTCTTTTCAAAGAAAAGGCAGTTGGGTAGAGAAGTTGTCTCTTCTCTAAAGTTTTATTTCATTCAAACTATTGCTACCAAAAACTTGCCTGCCAAGTTGAACAGTGAATGCCAACAAAGACCTGTTGCCAATTTAGTGACACAATTCAACACCAGTGCCTGTCTCATTTTATGACTGACTTTTTGTTTGGAGTATAACATATGTGCTGGAAGATGCAGAAAACTAAGGTGCACAGCATAATAACTTTTGTACTGTGACTGCATGGACACGCCCACATAACCACTACCCACGTCAAGATGCAGACACAACTGCTTCCTGACTGTTGGGCACTTTTCAGGAAGCTCTGGCCAAACTCCTAAGACACACTTTCAGTTCTGGACCCAACACTGTCTTCAGTTCCTGGCCTCAGCCCAGAGACACGCACATGAGATCTTGGTGTTCACTCACCAAAACCTAGCTCAAACAAATTACTCAAGAGCAATAATTAAAAAAAAAAAAAACACAACAATTCAATCACAGGCTATCAGAGGACTTTTTATACTATTTAAAGCATGGAAAATTCATTATCCAAATTTAAACTGTTTTAAAGGTTAAAAAAATACTAACGTGTAACTCATTTAAATGGAGCCATATTTGAAAACACTTCATAACATACCTCTACCTGAGCATCTCCCTTATCCAACGTATCATGATTCCAATCAGTCCTTTTGCTTAGGGCTTTTGTCATAATGCTGCTTGATCCCTGAAAACTGTCTCCCAACCATCCCAAGTTTGGAATCACCATTCTCATATATTTGAACCATAGTCCCACGTTCCCATTCCCTCTCCAACCGCCTCCACCCTCCCATTACTTTCTGAAGAAGATCTTGGTATCAACAGTATGCTCTAGACCTGGCCAGCCTTTCATAGTTGAGTTAAGGATTTAAAATCATGCTTTCTACAGGACTCCGGGCGCAAGACTCTTCAGTGGTAGCCCCAATCCCCAGGTCAGTTACCCACATCTCGTGGTTTTCTGAGTTCAGCTTCTGTGATAGACTCTTTTCACCCAAAACAAGGGTAGGAAAAATACAAAACCCATCAAGGAAGCTACAGGGAATCAAAGAAAACAATACAGAATTATGCTGAGTGTTGTCCTCTATAAAGCCTTCCCACTGGGAGCCCTCTACACTGAGCTACTCAGTCACCCTGCCTTTTTCCTGGACATCCTGATTTCTCTTGGCCTTGGCCCAGCAACCAGACATTGTAATTCCTCCAGAGGCTAGTTTTTCTTTGTGCTCTGTCCCCAGGGTTTTTCAGATTGCAGGCAGAGGTGGTTACCCAGTGACTAAACAGTCTTTGTTCCTTCAAATCCTCAGAGAATGCCTAAATGTTAGAGTAATGAACAAAATTTATCATGCATGGGAATTGAAAGGCTCTAGATTGGTTTAGATTTGTGAAAACCTGCTATGGGTCAGTCACCCTAATAGCTGTTTTTCTATGTTTATCTCATTTAACTTTCACAAATTCTGACATATCTGCCTTCATTACATCTGCATTTTATAGATGAAATGATATACATAGAAATGACATATGC